GAGCTCCGCCGAGTTCGAAGTGCCGCGCCGCCTCCTCGTCGGCCTCGAGGGGATCCTCCGGCGGAGGCGGGTCCTCGGGGGCCACCTCGGGAAACCCCACAGGGGCCACAGGAGGGCAAGGAGGGGACCCGGAGGAGGCGGAGGGCGAGGGAGGCGGGCCAGGAGGAGCCCCACGCCACATCTCAGGATCGACTTTCCGCTTAGTGCCCTTGTTGATGGCAAAGAGTCGGGTGCCTCCCAGAACTGCTCGGATTCGGACCACGGCACAAAAAACGGTCTCACCCCCACGTCGTCATACAACCGTGTTGTGGGCTCAGCTTCCGGTGGTGGCTCCTGTCCGTGGCGGAAGGCACCTAGGATGCCGTCGTGCATGGCTCCGGCGATCGCCAGGCTCATGGGTGGTGGGTGCGTATTAGTTCCACTCGTTTTCAAAGTACCGTCGTCGCTCGTGCCCAGCAGGACTGCATGGGCAGTGGGGCCGCAGTTGCACTTGCCGTTGCTCGTCGCCCTAAGGAGACCATGCCTGGCAGGAAGCCGAAGAGCCAGTATCCTAGTCGCGGCCTTGCCGTGCAAGCTGGGATCCTCCGTGCGGCGCACGCACTGATCAAGCTGAACAGTGCTGACAAGAGGACAGGTTACGAAGGCTCGGAGAGGCATCCAGGAAAAGCTCGATGGCGCCTCCGGGCGCCAAGGAAATGGCGGGGGACGCTCGATGCACCCTCCAGTGCCAGCACGCGCGTGCTCGGCTAGGAGCTGCGCGATGGTGATAGTAGAAAGTTGCCCACCCTAAGTTGTTCCTGCTGTGCCTGAATGTACCACGGCACTCCCCACATGTAACGCTGGGTGCGGAGAGGGGGGGGGGGGCGTCGCTCCACCGCGCAGCACTCCAAATCTCGCCCGGCGCCCCCACCCCCCCACCCCCACCCCTGTGACCCGGGCCCGTCGGCTCCTGATATGCTCGGTCCATTATGCGACGGTAGGGGCGCGGGTAAGGTCTTCAAGAATATGGCGCATGGCAATATCTTTGTATAAAACCGCAATTGCGAGGTCGACATCGCGAGTCGTGGCACCAACGCGGCACCGGGCGTCTCCCCGGCGGCGCCTGCCGCAGAAGAGGTTCAAAATGAAAACTTCGGCCTTCATGGCCTTGCTCGGGAGCGGAGAGGCAGCAACGTCGCCGCTGTCGCTAGGCCGGAAACGGAAAATGTAGCAGCGATCCTCGAATTGGAAGGGGGCGGTTCCTTGGGGGGCCCTTGGGGGGCTCTGGGGGGGTATCTTGCCAAGCCAGCATAAGTGCGGGTAGGGCCTGCAGGGGGGGCACTCGCACCGAGCCTCTCTGATAACCTGGCGGGCCTCCAACTCCGCAAAGTGAGAATGCACCCAAGTCGCTTCCCAGAGCATCCCATCAATGCCAACCGTCGCGGGGCGCGCTGACCTCCGCCTACCCAACCCCGCCTTGCGACGCACATCACGCAGTTGTTCGCCTTGCAATGCTGCCTGTTGTGCTTGCTCAGCCGGGGGAGTGGCCGCCCGACCAGCGTGGCCACGCTGAAGCGCGTTCTGACAATGTGCTGCCGCAGCGCCTTCGGCCGCTGGAACTGAAACTCGCGCCGTGGACATTCCAGTGCTGACGCGCTCGATTCGACCCCCGTTTTCAACGGATGTTGCGGCTGCGTGGTTGGCGGCGGAAAGCCGCAAGGCCCCGCGATAGCAAAGATCATCTTTTCCGCATCATCAGCCGGAGCAGACCTCGCCGCAGCACCCGCAGCGCCAGCTGCGGCCTCTCGGAGGAGAGGCTTCCACGCAGGCAAGACATGGCGGACGCGCTTTTCCCAAGCATTGAAATCCTCGTCTGGGGCAGGGTAGCCCCGAAGAGGCTTGCGTATAGTACGTGGCCAGAGTAGGTCGTGCTGAACGCGACGAAGCCAGGATGTTCTGGCGTCTCCGGGGAGGGCCCGACGGTGGCCCTGAACAGCCCTTTAGGCAGTTGCTAACTGGCCCTCGACAGTATCAGACCCGAAATGCATTACCCTTCCCAGGAGGCGCAGTCGGTGAATACGCAGCTGCACATCGAGATCGCACCTTTTGACTGTTGCAAGCACCTCCGCATCCGACACTGCCTGGTCGCATCGACGTAATCCGCTGGCCGCGCGATATTTGTGCATAGGTGCATCGCGTAGCTTAACATAGGCGCCGCGCTCGATATTACCCCAGGCGCCGGTGTTGAAGAGGAGGGAGGAGGTGACGAGCGAGTCGACGAATCGCATGTCCATGGTCCTGGAGTCGTCGTCGTGGGCGATGGCTTTGAATACATTGCGCACCAAGACCTGGGAAGGTTGCGCCACTCCCGCGACGCGCGCGGCCACCTCGGGGCCCGCGCAACATCGTTCATCCAAGATGGCACCCAAGTGTGGACATTGTCGCATTGGCGCACATGCGCACGTCACCTACCACCTCGCCTCGCCATCTGAAACTCCCCTGCATGTCCCTCCATAGCAGTGCGCGCGCAGTCTCAGCGCGCCCCCCGTGGAACTGGAAGAGCAGGTCTGTCCTGCCCGACTTGAAATGCAGCGCGAGGCCTGGGAATGCAGAAGAGGCGGCCACTGCGCCTGCCGAGACTCGAGCTGGGCCATCGCCAGCGGACGGCCGATGACAGCGAAGGCGCCGCCGCCGAAGAAAAGCACATCTGTGGCAGGCCTTGCGGCAGCAGGCTCGTGCTTCATCCATCGGGCGAGGGAGGCGCCGCGCAGGGTCGGGGCCTGAAACTCTGGCTGGAGGTACTGGAGTTGGTCCCAAGCTAGTTGTATGCACTCTGCCATGACCAAATGGCAGACAACGGCGCCGAGCTGTTGCCCCGGCACCGCCCCGAGCAGGCAAAGCGCCACCTTGGAATCTCCTGGGCAGTGGAGCCAAGACCCGTGATATGATGAGGCCACCAGGGCCCGCAGATGGCGGCCAACTGCAGCTGTCCCCATGCTCGGCGGGCGTGCGCTCCAGCGCTCGAGGAGGCGCTGCATGGCCACCGGAGGTAGCCCAGTCGTCGTTGGAATGTTAGCAACGTCTTCGAGCGCGTGCCCCGAGGTCATGACAAGCTGTCGTAGCGATTTGTAGAAAGCCTGGGCCACGTCAACGAGTAGGCACATGATCATGGCATTTCGTAATGCAGCAATATTCTGGCAGGTCCTGATGGCAAGGCCTGCCAGATCATCCCCGCGACGAGCGATCCCTCCGAACTGTTCGTCCCCGGCGAATCCAGGAAGGGCCTCTGCAATAGGTGCGCGGACAAGGGTTCTGAATTTCTTCCCGATTTTTTTGTTGGGGGGGGCCCTGACGGCTCGGGAGTGCATGGGCCAGGAAGGGTCCCCGGAGCGCTTCCAGATATTCCAATACAACCCGCCCTTCCACTGTTGTGGTCCCTCGTCCTAGTATGGCCTTCATAACTACTGGAAAATATAGCTCTGCCGTGTCTGGCGCCATAGTTGAGAGTAGGCGTCCGGCAATGCCGTCGACGCTGACAGCACTGGGCCTCGCACGAGCGCAGGCAGTTTGAAACTGTGCCAGTCCTGGGAAGAAGACCTCTTCCTCGGGCAAGCGGCGACGCATGTCGGCAAGGGGGGGGGGAGAAGGTCGAGGATAGCTTGCGCGTGCTGCACAGGGATGACGACTGCACTCCTCCCTCCCCAAATGAGCCCACCATATGTTAGCTGCCTGTGTCTGCGTAGCTGCGGGCGCTCCATCCTCCCCCCGACATT